CCCAAGAAAACATACCTAGTAAATATCAGCGCCCAAACAGGAACACAGTGTCCTGATCCACACAGTGTACATTGAGTCTAGATAATCAGAAACCTTTGTCCTCCCTATGTCCTAACCCTGAAACCAAGCTGCACTGTGTAGTGTATTATATAGGGTCAGTGCCAAGTGTGGATTAAACGAAGGGTGGAGCACTCTGACAGCTTTCTTCTAGCACTCACACGTAATTTCAGTTTGTGTTCAGGGAATTTACAGGCATCTAACAACAATGGGTACAGCTGTCTCTCAATTATCCCATGCAGTGCTAGGGTTATAAAAGGGCAAAAGGAGCAGCCCGTAATAGTTCCAACTTTATACCCTCATCAAACATTTTTAACTGAGATTTGCTGACAAGCAGTAAGATTGATTGATTTGGGGCTTTAAATGCTGTTGCTTTCTCCAACCTGGATTCTTGAGAACATGCCAAGCATTGTTAAATCGTAAAGTAAGTCAAAAGTCATTTGGCCATTTGTGCATATCCTGTGCATACAAGGCTGTCCTGTAACGAGAGGTCTGCGAGAGCATGAGGCTTTGCTTGAGACTCAGAGTTGGATGACCAGCCCTGGTGCAGTTGAGAATTAAAGGAGTAAGAACAGGTGTTGACTTACTGCTCGGTTTGGTAAGGTAAAGGATGAAAACCTTTCTACCTCTAGATGTTGTTGTGGACTTCTCAATAGAGAATGCCAACCGGATTTTAAATAACTTAGTCTCATCTTATCTGTGAGCTCCAGGAGGGCGAAGATAAGTTCTTATGAAACTCACAAACAGTGCTGAGTGAAAAATGATAAGAATACATGTATACAACAGGCAAAACTAATATATGCTGTTTGAAGTGAGGATCACGGTTGCCCCTGGAGGTGGAGGTGATGTCGTTGTGATTGAAGGAGGACACAAGGGAGGCTTCTGTTTTATTTCTTTTCTTTTTTTTTGAGACGGAGTCTCGCTCTGTTGCCCAGGCTGGAGTGCAGTGGGGTAATCTCGGCTCACTGCAAACTCCGCCTCCCGGGTTCACGCCATTCTCCTGCTTCAGCCTCCCGAGTAGCTGGGACTACAGGCGCCCGCCACCTCGTCTGGCTAATTTTTTGTATTTTTAGTAGAGACGGGGTTTCACTGTGTTAGCCAGGATGGTCTCGATCTCCTGAACTTGTGATCCACCTTCCTTGGCCTCCCAAAGTACTGGGATTACAGGCGTGAGCCACCACGCCCGGCCTGTTCTATTTCTTTAACTGGCTGCTGGTCACACATTGTGTTCAGTTTGCAAAAATTCATCGAGTACTTATTTCACTTTGTACTTACTTAATGTGCTCTTTTCTGAGTATAAATTGTGCTTCAATTAAAGTTTAAAAGTCCTTATTTGTATTTGTGTATCTTGTTGCACATTGATACTCGGAAAAAAATCTCTGTTTAGTTGAGTCGGTTTCAAATGGTGCCGGATTTATTATCCAGGTATTGGGAAACCGTCTTCACCTGGAATTGTCAGGGCTATGCCAGCACAACCTCTGAGGTTATTTTTTGGCTCAATGGAAATGTGTCTTAAATGATTCCAGGGTAGACTCCTTGGAATAAAGAATGATGGCACTTGGGTTCAGTAGACAACCATTTACTGACAGCCTCCGAGGAGAGTACTAGAACTTCAAGTTGGCTACAGCTATGACATCATGCCTCCCCAAAGGAGCGTGCAGTCTGCAGGGGGTTAAAGTGCATGGGTGGTGATCAAAGGAGGAGTCAGGAAGTGCCACAAGACAAGCACAGAGCAACAGGCGTGTCACAGAATGGAGAGGGGGCGTTCCACCAGAACTAGGAAAAGCTTCATGGCAGAAGGGGCATTTGAAATGGGTTTGTTTGTTTGTTTGTTTGTTTGAGACGCTATCTCACTCTGTCACCCAGGCTGGAGTGCAATGGCGCCATCTTGGCTCACTGCAACCTCGACCTCCTGAGTTCAACCGATACTCCTGCCTCAGCCTCCCGGGTAGCTGGGACTACAGGCGCGTGCCACCACGCCTGGCTAATTTTTTTGTATTTTTAGTAGAGACAGGGTTTCATCATATTAGCCAGAATGGTCTCGATCTCCTGACCTCATGATCCGCCCACCTCAGCCTCCCAAAGTGCTGGAATTACAGGTGTGAGCCACCGTGCCTGGCCCTTGAAATGGGTTTTAAAGGATATGTAGGATTTCGATAAACATAACTAAATGGGTGGCAGGCATTGTGAATATCATGCATATGAGAAAATCCATAGAAAATTCATATACATTCTGGGAATGTAGGTTGTATGATTCACTTAAGATATTCTTAAGATAGGCCTAAAAGGTGGGCATAAGGCCCTTCCTAATGCCTGCTAAATGGAATCATATGCCAGGTTATATTATTTCATTTAGTAGCCATTAGAAAGCCAAAGGAAGTTTCTAAGACATAGAGTAGCATGATCAGATATAATATCTCCAGTAAAACCAAATTTCTAGCCTCAGTGATTGTACAGTTACCATTAATTACCTATCTGCCCAAAATAAACATTTTGTAAGTTTCGTGCATTCTCTGTTGCTATAATTTGAACCTGTTCCTGTTTGGGTCCACTGATGAGCCACAGGTACATAGATTCCTTGAGCTTCCTGTGGTCGACCCTCTAGGATTTAAAGAGTATTGTATACCTTCTTTATTCCCTATCCCCATCCTTCCCTCTTGACCAAGTGAAGTCACAACTTTTTTATCCTTTTTTCATATATCCTGTTTTCCAGTCTTGTAGCGATTGGGCATTTGCTTCCTTCCAGCTTTTCCTATATGGTGCTTCTCTGCCAGATAAAGTAACCAGTGTCTGTAATTAATGACAACATCGTGCATTGGAAAAGAGGGGCTAAGAGCTAATGCTAACGAATGTTTGTAAGTTGTGGAGGAAGCCTGACCCGCCCATCTGGGATGGTGTCCCACTGTGCTGCTGTGCTCCCTCCTCTGGAATAAAGCACTGGGCAGGATTTATTATGTGGTGAAGTGTTAATACCCGTTGCTGGATATGGTCCATATTCGAGTCTGGGTCACTCAGTGCATTAGTCTGTTCTCACATTGCTATAAAGAAATACCCGAGTCCTGATACTTTATAAGAAAAGAGGTTTAATTGGCTCACGGTTCTGCAGGCTGTACAGGATGCATGGCTTCATCTGGTCCTGGGGACGCTGCAGGGAGCTTTTACTCATGGTGGAAGGCAGAGCAGGAGCAGGCACTTCCCATGGCGAAAGCAGGAGGATGCGGGCAAGAGAGGGGAGGTGCTACACACTTTTAAACAACCAGATCTCACGAGGATTCACTACCATGAGAACAGCAGCAGAGGGATGATGCTAAACCATTCATGAGAAATCCGTCCCCATGATTCAATCACCTCCCACCAGGCCCCACCTCCAACACTGGGGATTGGAACAGTTGAACATGAGATTTGGATAGGGACACAGATCCAAATCGTATCACTGAGTGTGAAATTCATTAATTTTTTACTAATTTTTTTGCTATCAGCCCACTAATTCCTTAAAATAAGGTAACATACTGCATATTGTCTTGCTTCTCATTTGATTTCTATTAAGACTGTATATCAAGTCATTTTTCTAATCAAAGGGATATTGACAAATGAGATGCTTCAGTTTGGATCTTAAGAATTGCTTGTAGGTTGTGTTTGAACTCTACAAAGAGCTGTTTTTCATCCTCTGGGGATATCAACAATGGAGTGACCTGACATGGAAAGAGGATTACAGTTAGGATGACTTGGATTCAAATCCTGGCCTTACCCCTCGGTTTCTACATGTTTATGAATCTAGCATGTTCTTTGTCTGGCATGGTAATGAAGCGAGACAAGCCATGAGAGACATCCATGGACCCTGGCATATGATCTGCTTCTGCCTTTTCCTTTTAGAGCACAAACTTGCCACCCGCTTCACTGGGAAACTCAACGCTGCCTTGCAGTTCTTTTCCCTAAATGGCCCTTGAATGAGAAAGCTGTTTTATGTGGTCTGAGTTTTATCATTATTTTATTATTATTTTTTTGAGACAGAGTCTCACTCTCTTGCCCAGTCTAGATAGAGTACACTGGTGTGATATCGGCTCACTGCAACCTCCACCTTCCAGGTTCAAGTGATTTTCCTGCCTCAGCCTCCCGAGTAGCTAGGCTCACAGGTGCTTGCCACCACGCCCGACTAATTTTGTATTTTTAGTAGAGATGGAGTTTCACTATGTGAGCCAGGCTGGTCTCAAACTCCTGACCTCAGGTGATCCACCTGTCTGGGCCTCCCAAAGTGCTGGGATTACAAGTGTGAGCCACTTCAGCCAGCACCCCGCCCCTTTTTTTTTTTCTTTTTAATATCACTGTGGTGTGGTTTGGGGTTGTTTCCATATATAAATACTGTTGTATTACCCAGTTATTAAAGTTAATCTTATACCGTATTATTCTATCATATCTATTTAATGATTCCGTTAAGAAAATAATATTCTTGTTTGATGGATGTACCTGCTCGTATATTTTTTCCTATTTTTCCCCATCTTTTTTTTTTTTTTTTTAAAGATTCTGCTTCTATTAAGTGAGTGAGTTCTGAGTTAGATGTGTTCCCCATAGTGGTGAAGTTCCCAGTGAATGGGGCGTGGCAGGCATCCCAGTTACCTGGGCACTTTGGGAAACCAGGACTGACTGGTGACCTCATTCTATTTTGCATTTTCCACCCTGGGAGCCAGGTTACTGTCTCATCACACAAAAAAGTGGATACCCTGGGAGATCCAAATCTCACAGCTACTTAGTGTAGATGGATGCAGGAAGGAGCCAGGCCGCCCCTATGTTTAACTGGAGGGAACAGCACGGTTGCTTTATCCTGTGACACTTGTAGTTCGAAAATCTGGGACTTAATGTATGTATCTGGTATGTGCACAGATTCTATCACAGTAATTATCTCTTTGACTTCAAATTTTCATGTGCTTCTTTCCTGTCTCTTTCAGGTAGAACGTCATGACATGAATACCTTAAGCCTGCCCCTGAACATACGCCGAGGGGGGTCAGACACCAACCTCAACTTTGATGTACCAGATGGCGTCCTGGACTTCCACAAGGTCAAACTCACTGCAGACAGCCTGAAGCAAAAAATTCTAAAGGTAACAGAGCAGATAAAAATTGAGCAAACATCGCGCGATGGGAACGTTGCGGAGTATCTGAAACTAGTGAACAGCGCGGACAAGCAGCAGGCGGGACGTATCAAGCAAGTCTTTGAGAAGAAGAATCAGAAATCAGCTCACTCCATCGCCCAGCTGCAGAAGAAGTTAGAGCAGTATCATCGAAAGCTCAGAGAGATCGAGCAGAATGGAGCCTCCAGGAGCTCCAAGGACATTTCCAAAGACCACCTGAAGGATATACATCGCTCTTTGAAAGATGCCCACGTGAAATCTCGAACTGCTCCCCATTGCATGGAGAGCAGCAAATCGGGCATGCCAGGGGTCTCGCTCACTCCACCTGTGTTTGTTTTCAATAAATCCAGAGAGTTTGCCAACCTGATCCGGAATAAGTTTGGCAGCGCCGACAACATTGCTCACTTGAAAAATTCCTTAGAGGAGTTTAGGCCAGAGGCGAGTGCCAGGGCCTACGGCGGCAGCGCTACCATCGTGAACAAACCCAAGTATGGCAGTGATGATGAATGTTCGAGTGGCACGTCAGGCTCGGCCGACAGTAACGGAAACCAGTCGTTCGGGGCTGGTGGAGCCAGCACGCTGGACAGCCAGGGGAAGCTCGCCGTGATCCTGGAGGAACTGAGGGAGATCAAGGATACCCAAGCTCAACTGGCTGAGGACATCGAGGCGCTGAAGGTGCAGTTTAAGAGAGAATATGGTTTTATTTCCCAGACCCTGCAAGAGGAAAGATACAGGTATTTCAAAGTATTCCACTGGCATGTTTTTTAACTTTTAATTTTAGTGGGTACGTGATAGGTGTAGCATTCTTTTTAGAAGGATGAGTTACTACAGAGAGATTATCTGCTTGAAATGAGAATGCCTTATGGTTGTATTTTCAACAAATATGGATATGGATTAAAAGGCATTTAGCAATCAGTACATCCCTAATGTATTGATACATCCCTCTTCCAAAAATCTCAAATCCAGAATGTTCCAAAATCTGAAACTTTTGGAGTGTCAATACAACGCCACAACTGGAAAATTCCACAAATAAAAACACAAACTTGAGGCACAAAATTATTTAAAATACAGTACATTTTACCTTCAGGCTGTGTGTTCATGGTGCATAGGAAACAAATGAATAGTGTCTTTAGACTTGGGTCCCATTTTTGAGGTATCTCCTTATGTATATGCAAATATTCCAAAATCTGATAAAAATCAAAATCTGAAACACTTCTGGTCCCAAGCATTTCAGATAAGGGATACCCAACAATTCCATCTTTCATGATTCTAAGTTTTATAATTTGTGTCCTTTAGCTGACAATTTAGAGAAGGATTTATGTGTGGGTCCCTTAAATTATCAGATACAGGCAATGACTCACATGCATCTTAAGATTCTGATTCAGTAGACTTCCGTTATAGTGTCATTACACTAATTCAGAGTTCTGTGTTTGATTTCCCTCTATAACAACTGTCAAGTAAAAAACACTTATGCATTGCCCAACAAAGTTAATTTTATTTAGTACGTCAATCTTGAAGTCCTTATGTAATGTTTTGTTGTTGTTGTTGAGGGGCAGAGGGGTTTGAGATGGAGTTTTCACTCATTTTCCCAGGCTGGAGTGCAGTGGTGCAGTCTTGGCTCACTGCAACCTCTGCCTTCCGGTTTCAAGCAATTCTCCTGCCTCAGTCTCCCAAGTGGCTGGGATTACAGGCGCCCGCCACCATACCCAGCTAATTTGTATATTTTTAGTAGAGATGAGGTTTCACCATGTTGGCCAGACCGATCTCCAACTCCTGACCTCAGGTGATCCACTTGCCTTGGCCTCACAAAGTGTTAGGATTACAGGCATGAGCCACTGCACCCGGCTGAGGTTTCAAATATGAGAAAAATCATCTTCAGTGAAAGGGGCAGGGCACAGGAATGAGAATCTTTGTACTTCTGTTCCTTTAGATTTGTACTTTTTGTTTGTTTGTTTGTTTGTTTGAGACGGAGTCTTGCTCTGTCGCCCAGGCTGGAGTGCAGTGGCGCGATCTCGGCTCACTGCTCCGTCTCCCGGGTTTATGCCATTCTCCTGCCTCAGCCTCCTGAGTAGCTGGGACTACAGGTGCCCACCACCACGCCCGGCTGAGTTTTTTGTGTTTTTAGTAGAGGTGGGGTTTCATCATGTTAGCCAGGATGGCCTTGATCTCCTGACCTCGTGATCTGCTCGCCTCAGCCTCCCAAAGTGCTGGGATTAGAGGCTTGAGCCACCGCACCCGGCCTAGATTTGGACATTTTGAAACACCGTGTGGTAAGCCATCTATAATTTGTAATAAGCTTAATTTTGTATTGTCACTTAGGTTCCAAGAGCTGAAATCCATAATCAGTGCGTGTTTGCGTGCTGGGAAATAGTAGAGTTGACTCCAGAGTAGAAGGTGATACTAAAAGCATGGTGCTTTCCCTGTGGGTTCTCTGGCCATGAACCACAACAACAGTGTCAGAGCAGAAGAGGGAGAAGGCACCACAGACACCAGAGGTCCTGGCCCTCCATTAGCAGGATCCCACAGAGCCCTATCTCCTGCCTGACCCTGGCAAATGCATCAGCTGATGAGCTCTATCTTGAGGTCACTGCAGCTAGCTAAGGTGCTAGTCTGACCCTTGTGCACCGTCAGTGGCGAGGACGGAGAGTCAAGACCCCAGAGACTGGATCTTTCCAGAGCTGGGACTCAGTGTTATGCAAAAGCTCATTTCCCACAGCTTAGCCTTACTCTTTTAGAAAAACAGCCCATCAGGGGATGAGAGCAAGCCAAAAGGTACTGGCACAGGAAAATGGAAAGGACATCGTCTTGCAGTGTGCTGTGAAATGTCACACTCGGAATCGGCTCCTCTCTTTTAAAGGTATGAGCGACTGGAGGACCAGCTGCATGACCTGACAGACCTGCATCAGCATGAGACGGCCAACCTGAAGCAGGAGCTGGCCAGCATTGAGGAGAAGGTGGCCTACCAGGCCTACGAGCGCTCACGGGACATCCAGGTACCCTTCTCTTTGTGATTAGACACAGACCTGGGCTCTTCCCTGGCCTTAATTCATTTACCAATCTAAATGTTTATGCCGAAGTCCTAGAGGGTTTCTGGCACCTGGGACAAAATGTTTTCTCTGCACAAACATTTTGTCTGCACCACGTTAACCCCACTAGTTCATGTTGTAGACATTAGTAAGTAAAAACACAATATTCTTTTTTTTCTTTTTCTTTTTCTTTTTTGAGGTGAGTCTCGCTCTGTTGCCCAGGCTGGAGTGCAGTGGGCGGTCTCGGCTCATTGCAACCTCTGCCTCCTGGGTTCAAGCGATTCTCCTGCCTCAGCCTCCTGAGTAGCTGGGACTAGAGGCACACGCTACCACGCCCGGCTAATTTTTTTGTATTTTTAGTAGAGACGAGGTTTCACCATGTTGACCAGGCTGGTCTCAAACTCCTGACCGCAAGTGATCCACCCACCTCAGCCTCCCAAAGTGCTGGGATTACAGGTGTGAGCCACCGTGCCTGGCTAAGAGACCATATTCTTTACACTTTCTGTCTAAATCAATTAACAAGTATTTATTATCCACCCCAAGCCCATCACCACCAAAACTGTAAAAGGTAAAAGTAGCAGACAAAGTCTGGCTTCAAGAAGCTCACTGCCTAGGTGGAGAGTGTGGGATAGCGCAGCTGCCAAAGAACTCAAGACAGCACACACATGGTCCAAGTTCCATGACACGGACTCTGTGAGCCACAGACATTTAGCCATATGGTGCCCAGCAAGCTGTGGACTGTGGGAGCAATCAGTCATTTAGTGGCAAAACATTTCCACGTTCAGTCCGACGTCTACCGTATCAGTTTTGTGGCCCTGAGTAAGATTTGAGTCATCTGTAAAATAATAGCATTCACATGGCCGGGTGCGGTGGCTCACACCTGTAATCACAGCACTTTGGGAAACCAAGGCGGGTGGGTCACGAGGTCAGGAGATCAAGACCATCCTGGCTAACACGGTGAAACCCCATCTCTACTAAAAATACAAAAATTTCGCCGGGCGTGGTGGCGGGCACCTGTAGTCCCAGCTACTCGGGAGGCTGAGGCAGGAGAATCGCTTGAATCCAGGAGGCAGAGGTTGCAATGAGCTGAGATTGCACCACTGCACTCCAGCCTGGATGACAGAGCGAGAGTCTGTCTCAAAAAATAAATAAATAAAATAATAATAATAACATTGGTATTTGTAAGAAATTAAAGCACTTCAGTGCATACTGTGTGCTCAATACTAGCAAGGCACTTCAAAGGTTTCTGTTTTTCCCATTTACTTCTCAGCAACCCTTTAAGGTAGTTTCTGTTATTATCCCCACTTCTCAGATATGGAGACCGAGGCACAGCGAGGTTAAGTGGCTTAAACAAGGTCTTGCAAATCATCCTTAAGGAAGGAATGTAATTGAATGTCCTGGAGAAGGTGGGACTGGAAGGTAGGGTAGGATCTGGGTGGATGGAAGGAAAGGATAATGGGATCAATATAAACAAAGTTGTGCTCCAGTATTACCTCATGTGATCCTAGCACGTAGTGAAACAACCCCAGGTTCCTTGATTGCCTTAAAAAAAAAATTGCCCAGGGCTGGTGGCTCACACCTATAATCCTGGCACTTTGGTAGGTTGAGGCAGGAGGATCACTTGAGGCCAGGAGTTCGAGACCAGCCTGGGCAACATAGTGAGACCCCCTCGATCTCTAAAAACAACTTTTTAAAATTAGCTGGGTGTGGCAGCGTGTACCTGTATTCCCAGCTACTCAGGAGTCCAAGGTGGGAGGATGGCTGGAGTCCAGGAGTTCAAGGTTATAGTGATTGTGCCAAAGCACTCCAGCCTGGGGGGTGACAGAGTAAGGCCCTGTGTCTCTTAAAAAAGTACTCTTCAAGCAACGCCCAGCTTCGTTTTTATGGATTTTCTCTGTGGACAGTAGCCATTTTCTCCAGCTCTAGGAAGGCTGAAGGCTGTGAGTCCAAGCCCCACTTTACAAGGGAGAAAATTAAACATAAAGATAGCACTTTCTCCCGCAGTGTGTGAGCTGGAGTTTCAACTGGCCACATTTCATTCCACTCTGCTGAGGGCTGAGCCTGTGCTAATCCCAGATGCCTACTTGGACAATTCTGGGAACCAACACATTGGAGCTGATGCGAAATTCTGCCCCCAGAGACCACATCTCAAAAGACACTTGGGAGGTTTCTGGCTCTGTTCTAGATTAGGCAAGTTCGCTTCACCACTGGCTAATTCAAGAAACTTGAACCATTTAAATGTTAAATGTTGCCAAGTGGGCGGGGTGCAGTGGCTCATGCCTGTAATCGCAGCACTTTGGGAGGCTGAGGTAGAAGGATCATTTGAAGCCAGGAGTTCAAGACCATCCTGGCCAACATAATTAGAAAAAAAAATTTTTTTAATTATTATAGCTGGACAGGGTGGTGTGCCTATAACCTTAGCTACTTGAGAGGCTGAGGAGGGAGGAGTTTGTGGTTACAGTGAGCTATGATCGCACCACTGCTCTCCAGTCTGGGCGACAGAGCAAGGCCTTGTCTCCAAAAAACAAACAAATAAAAATGTTGCCAAGTGAACAGTACAATTGCTTCACGAAGTCGTTCTATTTTAGAGCATGTTTCGAGTGTCACTGGGTGGTATATGAATGCATGGTTTTCTTATTTAGGGGATAGTTTGGGTTAATATTGTTCTTCTGTGTTTTAACAAACATATTTTAGTGGTGAAGGACAACAGATAAAGTGGGGAGGGACCACATAAAGGGAACTTAAAAATCCAGAGAGGTTCATTTTGACGTTTTCTGGTTTCATCTCACACTCAAAAGTGCAAAGAGGACATCTGTGTGAATGACTGGAGCGTCTTCCCTGTCATGATGGCTAGAATCCTGGTCCTCCTCATGCTGTGTGACCCTGGATGAGTTAGTGCTCTGTGCCTCAGTTTCCTCCTCAATAAAATGGAAGTATTAATGTACCTCAAAAGGTTGTCAAGAAGATTAAATGGGATAATCATGTAAGGTCTTGAAATCTTTGCCTGGCACATAGTAAACAGTCAAAAAATAAATACTGGCCATTCCTTACATCTGGGAGTAGCCACATTCCTCAGGGCTTCTAGCAGTTGAGCCTTTTGACTTCATCTTTATTTCTTATTTGTTTTGTTCTTACAGACAGGGTTGCACAAAGGGAATGGGCTACCAGAGACAGAGAGGCTGTTGCCTGCAGGGATGCAAGGGTTTTGTCGTTCTAAACAACTGAGTGGTTTTTTAAACCCTGAATTCCCTATTAAAAACGTTTCAAGATAATCCCTTTTTCTGGTCATCATCCCCAATAAGTTAATGACTGGACCCAAGGAAGTACCAAAAATTGTGGGGCTGAATACTCGGGCTGCTGTGACTCAAATTCCTTGCAATTCACTGCTTAATTTTCTTGGATTTTTCTTCTCGTTAAAAAAATTTGACAGCAGTTGTAAGACAGTCCTGAGATCGGTCTACTTGTACATGTAATTCATCTTATAATCAGAGATTCATGGATTTTCCTAAAAGGTTGGTCCTTTGTCTTGTTCCATCCCCTTTTCTGTGCTACGCCTAAAATGGAGGAAACCTTGGACCCAAGTGGTTGAAAAGAACGCGCGATTTCTGGTACATGCCTGTCACTGTTGAAAGCCAGCATTTTCTAGAATGTGAAGATCTGAAGAAGTTTTATCCTTTTCGTTGGTAGCCTAGTATAATAGAAGTTACTATAGTAACAGAGAACCTGTTCTTTGGCCCATAGAGTTATTCAGCAGAAGAAAAGCAAATCAATCTTGGAGCCATTATGCTTGTTTAAAACCTGAAAAGATGACTATATTTTAATTGAGCAAACACAGATTGGCACATGAGTTAGAACAGAGAGGGGCATATTGTACTACCTCTAGTTAGATCCTTTTCACCCAGCAGGCTTGGAGGTTTCTCTCTCAAGCCTCACTTTTTTCTTTTCTTTTTTTTTTTTTTTAAACCGTCTCTCTCTGTCGCCCAGGCTGGAGTGTAGTGGCACAATCTTGGCTCACTGCAACCTCTGCCTCCTGGGTTGAAGCGATTCTCCTGCCTCAACCTCCTGAGTGGCTGGGATTACAGGTGCGTGCCACCATGCCCAGCTGATTTTTATATTTTCTTAGTAAAGACGGGATTTCACCATATTGGCCAGGCTGGTCTTGAACTCCTGACCTCAAGTGATCCACCCACCTCGGCCTCCCAAAGCGCTGGGATTACAGGCATGCCCCACTGTACCTGTCAAGCCTCACATTTTCTTACTGGCACCTAGCTGTCTCTTTCATATTCAGCCAGTGTGTGGCACGTGCTGAATGCCTGACTCTCGGTCTGTGCTGGAGAGGACAGCAAATGCGAGATGCACTAGTTCCTGTCCTCAGGCAGCATATGTCTCATGGTTGGGGAGGAGAGCTGAAGGGAGACTTGACCTCATCTCATGGATCAGGAAAGGCTTCCCCAAGGGTGTGGCAATCAAGGCAAGACCTAAAAAATGAGTGGGAGATCCACGGGTGAAGAAGGGACGGAGTAGGGGATGCACACATCTCAGGCAGAGTGTACTGAATGTGCAGAAGCCCTGAGGTGAGTCTATGCTCCTTTTCAGAACTTAGAATAAAGCTGGGTGTGGTGGCTCGCACTTGTAATTCCAGTCATTCAGGAGGCTGAGGCAGGAGACCAGAGGGTGAGGTTGAAATGAGCTCTGACTATGCCATTGCACCCTAGCCTGGGCAACAGAGTGAGACCCTGTCTCTTCAAAGAAAAAAAGAACTTGGAAAAGGCCAGAGCACTATGACAGGGCAAGGGGCTGGCATGAAGTCATTGAGGGAGGAGAGGGAGCTGAACCTGGGCCTTGGAAGGCCTCAGAAGGCCATATTAAAGATTGGAAAGGTTTTATGAAAAGGAGTGATCAAATATGTATCCTTAAAAGACCACTTGGGCGGCTCTGTGGAAAATGGATTCGTGAGGGTGGGGAACGAAAGGATATATAGGGAAATTTGTGTAAGGTTATTGCAGGCAAGAAATCCCAGTGACTTAGATTGGGGTGCTGACCAGGTGGAGAGAACTGGACCAATTGAGCTAGAAACTAGATGTTGCCTCTGTGGCTGGGTGGCGGGTTGGATGAGAAGGGTGTCAGGATATGCACATTAGGCTTCTGGTATGAGGAACTGGATGGATCATGGTGCTCTGCTCTGAGAAGGACACTGGAAGGGAACAGGGTTGACTGCAGGTGTTGGGTAGCTGCAATACATGAAGTCACATTTGCACGTGTTGCATTTGAGGTGCTTTCAAGCAGCTCTGATGGAGATGTCAATGAGGCACAGAGATCTGTGAGTCAATCTCAGAAGAGAGAACTGGCCTAGAGATTAGGTCAGTTGTAGTCATCTTGTGTCTTAGTAATTGAAGACTTGGCATGGATGAGATCCAGGGAGATAGCCTCGGATGGTGTCCTAAGTAACACCTTGTTTAGAGAGCAGGCAAAAGCACAGTTGCCCCGCAGTCAGCCCCAGTCCCTGCCCCTCCCTTCTCTCGCCTTCCTCTGCCAATCTCTAACCGATGGACAAAATCTTTGAGCAGTGGAAATAAGGACTGGCCATTGGAGATCCCACACACTCCTTGGCTGAAGGTGGAGTAGTCACAGAGTGGAACCTTCCTCCCTCTCTGCTTTGTCCCTGATGGCACCAACAGGCACCAATATTTTATATCACTTTATTTCAAAAATAGGGAAAGTCAGGCTGAGCACGGTGGCTCACGCCTGTAATTCCAGCACTGTGGGAGGCCATGGCAGGCAGATCACTTGAGGTCAGGAGTTTGAGACCAGCCTGGCCAACTTGGTAAAGCACTGTCTCTACTGAAAATACAAAAATTAGGTGTGGGGACGTGCACCTGCAATCTCAGCTACTCAGGAGGCTGAGGCAGGAGAATAGCTTAAACCCAGAAGGCAGAGGTTGCAGTGAGCTGAGATCATGCCACTGCACTCCAGCCTGGGTAACAGAGTGAAACTGTGTCTCAAAAAAAAAAAGATAAAGTAGGCTGGGCATGGTGGCTCACACCTATAATCCTAGCATTCTGGGAGGACGAGGCGGGCAGATCACGAGGTCAGGAGATCAAGACCATCCTTGCCAATATGGCGAAACCCCGTCTCTACTAAAAATACAAAAATTAGCCAGACGTGGCGGTGTGTGCCTGTAGTCCCAGCTACTCGGGAGGCTGAGGCAGGAGAGTCACCTGAACCCAGGAGGCGGAGGTTGCAGTGAGCTGAGATCGCGCCACTGCACTCCAGCCTGGCAACAGAGCAAGGTAACTACGTCTCAAAAAAAAAAAAAGAAAAAAGTAAAGTCAAAAAACTTAGCCATACTTCCTCATTTGTGGCATTTTGTGGTTGTGTCCACATGCTCTTCTACTCGTGAGCAACAGGAGAAAGTGAGCCTGGGATTCTTGTTCCACATCTTTGTCTGTCACCCTCATCAGCAGTTTGGGGATTCGCAGCCGCCTGGGCATTGGGCTTTCGGAGCCGGGGCTTTTGTGTACAGCTGAGCGAGCACTCGCATGTTGCTCACGATCCCAACACCGTTTGACCCTTGCTGTCCCTCTTGCCCACAGGAAGCCTTGGAATCCTGCCAGACTCGCATTTCTAAGCTGGAGCTCCACCAGCAAGAGCAGCAAGCTCTGCAGACGGACACCGTGAATGCTAAAGTTCTCCTGGGGAAGTGCATCAACGTGATCCTGGCCTTCATGACTGTCATCTTAGTGTGTGTGTCCACCATCGCGAAGTTCGTCTCGCCCATGATGAAGAGCCGCTGCCACATTCTTGGCACCTTCTTTGCCGTGACTCTTCTTGCTATATTTTGTAAAAACTGGGACCATATCCTGTGTGCCATAGAAAGGATAATAATACCAAGATGAAGCCGCTGGTTCCTGCCTTCAAGTTCTTTCAAGTTTTTATTTTAAAGAAAACTCTGTGCATACTACCAAATTTTACAGTGAATGATTGTGCGGACTCGTGTGCAAGAAAAACTAGGGCTGTGTGGTGTAAATAACTACAATTCTCTTAACTCGGTAGCAGTTGCCAACTCAGTCCTTGTACTTTGTTAACATGAATCTATTTCAGAGCTCTCCTACCTTGCTCACTGCCTTAATCAGACCGATTTCCTGCCCACCTGACTAGCCCAGCGTGGTAAACCTCTGTATATCGAGACCTTGGCGTAATTGGTGATCCAGAAGAAAGGTCTCTCTCCTAAGTCTCTGTCAGAATGGAGCTTCACAATTGCTAATGGTTGTTTTCTGTGAGTCCTATAAAAAGCAAGGATATGCATGATTCAGGGAATGAAGAACCACAGGCTTGGGCAGTGTTAAACACTGTGGCCTTTGGTCCCCGTGTGATTCACCCTGCTTGTCTCCAGGCAACCATAGGTCCCGTCATGTACTCAGTGTCCACAGCGGTCAGTCGTTTGTGACCCTGTAAGATGGAAATCTTATCACACACCTGTTATCCAACAAGTCTACCTGAGGGGTTTTGTTACACTTTAAATGGTAAGACATAGGGATTTATGAATGGAGCTTTCCCCTTCTCATACGCAGGAAACAGACACCTGATTTTATCTGAACTGGCTAGCAAATGGCCAGCCTTCAGAGTGTGCAGGAATGTTTTCAGATCCCTCATCAGACTGTGACTTTAACATTAATTTGGAATCCCGTGAGCACTACTCTGAAGGTTTGTGTTTTGGCAAATCTTTTTTTTGTTTTGTTTTGTTGTTTTGAGACAGTGTTCTGCTAAATATTGCCCAGGCTGGTCGCAAACTCCTTGCCTCAAGGAATCCTCCCACCTCAGCCTCCTGAGCAGCCAGGACTGCAGGCACAAGCCACCATGCCTGGCTGTTTTTTGGCAAATCTTGATTGTGATAAGCCCCCCTGGAGGATATGATTCACTTTATGTGATTCATTTTATTCACAGGTCTGTGAGGGACTGCAAAGCTTACTCAGGAAATGAAAACAAATGATGGTCATGTTGCAGTTTTTTCCTTGAAGGACGACGGAATCATAGCCTCTAAAGTTAAAGTGGACTGAGGTGTCAGAACACTGAAAGCATGAGGAAACGAGGACATGGGGTGTGACTGAGTGGCAGCTAGATTAGTGGGGGCAATTTACCTGGATGAAGATTGAGTGTCCTTTTCAAGATGTGAAAGGCTAGCAAGAATAAAATAAATAAGTCCAGTGTTTGAGCCAAGGTTGACCCCTGTCTCTTAACATCTCACTGAACGTAAGTCCTGAGGTACTAGGATGGCCACACTGCCTCTGCGCTGAAAGCATTCAAAAGTTCACATCCCTGTTTGGGGGATACCGTTCACCACCTTCAGCCTAGATGATACTTTCCTTTAAATCTGTGTCTCTGTGTATATCACAAAGAGGAAGATGTAAACAATGTTCATGGAAACTGCTGTTGAGCCCCTTGTCCCACCACTCCCGCCAGCTGCTGCAGGCAGGAAGGCATGTGAGTGCACATTTTCTTCCAGAAGATATCAGGTCTCCTGGATTCAAATTAAGTGCAATATTTTGCAAACAGCTCTTCTTAGGGAAATCTCCTGAAGGAAAAAAATGTGACAGAATGTGCCATAGTCTGAGAGAATGGAATAGTTGAGCACTTAGTACAAAGTCCAGTGTGTATGAGTTGGACTTATGCAGCTCAAGCTTGCTTTTTTTTTTTAAGTGTGCAATTCAGTGGTTTTAGTAAATTCACAAACTTGTTCAACCATCACCACTATCTAATTCCAGATTCATGCTTTTTTAAACAATAAATGTCATTTCATGAAATCTTTGGTGATAAAGTATTTTGGATTCAGAGAAGAGGGAATTACCAGTCCCACTCCGATCTCATGACTGTCTCTCCTTTCATTGTCAGACTCCCCCTGGTCTCCCACGTTGATGTGTATACACTGATCGTTCAAGTCCAGGGGACAGATAAGGAGGCCAGGTGCAAGGCAGGGAGGCAGAGAGAATGTTGTGCTTCCTTCAGCTTTTGTATTTCCATGGCCAGCATTACCCTTTACCTGTGGGCATCAGACTGAGCGTGGGCTGAGAGCTGAGTGTGACTTACACTCCTAAATCAACCTGGGGCCTGGGTGGGTCCCTCTTGGTATCTGTGAATCTTTCCAAGCACCACTTTGGACAGACCAGGGATTGAGTGCTGCTGTTAGTTTAGAGAATGAGAGATTTCTAACCCTTAGGTGAAGGGCTCTGGGATGGTCCAAGAAGATGTAGGCCTCATTCTCACACTAGCCCACACCATTCCAGTGCTCAGCCTAGCAAATGTGCTTTAATGCACACTTCTCAGACCTGTGATCCGTGTATCTTCTCCCCAGTGACAAAAGTAGAGAAGAAAATGAAAAGTAGCACAGTCTGTCCCCTCTAGTCTGGAGCTGTTAACAGAACCTGCTAGAAACTAGCTTTATTCTAACATACTGTAGGGTCTAAATCCTCCTACCTGGATCATGAATTCCTTTTAAAGAGTTCATATTTTCATTGACTTTCACTAAATGTCAAATAACCTTGTTTTCACTTCGATAGGCTCAACCTACCTGGCATATTTATTTCGCAGTCTTGTTGAAAGTTCATGAAACTTTGTACTTTTTAATAAGATGATACACTCGAAAGAAACTTAATCTCTGCAGTTTATTCTCTCTTAAGGAATAAACACTCCCACTGTTCTCTTTAATGCGTAAGGCGATTAAATGACATTTTAGAAATATTACAATTAAAAATAGTGATGTGTAGCTATAACATATGCTGGAATTGGATATTTAATTTATGTTTGTGTCAACTATAATCCTTTCTCCACACCTTTCATTTATGGTAAACATCTTGGGCCAAGCCCAAGATGAAAGTGCTTGTTGGGTGGGTAAACACCGCCTGGTCGCTCAGCAAACGTTCCTGAGTGTCGATGCTGGACATTGGATTCTAACACTGCGTTTATCTGGTGACATACTGTCCTGTGGGTCTTGAGTTGGTTATTTCAAGTTCAAACTTTGAATATGATTAAACCGGAACACCCTCCCTCGCCCACCGCCAAAAAAAAAAAAAACCAAAAATGGAAACCTATAGTGAAACAGCAAAAATCACTTCGTTGCTGGGTTTGGACAATGAATGTGGGATTAGTCCCAAGTTTCTAGCTTGGAACAGTAGCCTCTTTGCCTGCGTGATCCTTGTCAGCTATTCACAGAAGGAAATCTGAAACTCCATCTTTCATTTCAGCCGTGGAGGCTGTTATCCTTCTCTGTCAATTAGCATTCATGTGGTTTTCGCTCCTTCTAGCTCTGTCACTCTTGTTTTCATTTAAATATTGCCCCACTCTGTGTGTTTATTGCCTTGCCATTTCTCTAGCATATCAGGTTTAATTATGGGCTCAGTAATAATGAGGAACTAGCTTCTCTCAGGCAACTAATTACTTTTGTCTTTTTTGGTCGGATTGTGCCAAATTATTTTGCATTGAATGGGAACGTTTTTGCAGTGAATCCAGATATTGTTGTATTGGTTTGGAAAAACATTTAAATATATTTATTCATGTGAACATGTGTGATTAAACAACCTATTTTACATGTTTCTGTAATTCTGAGGAGTGGGCTGGGGGCAGGAAGAAATGGCATCACTTAAAATTCAGGGCTTATGTGAAGAGGTGTTTTAAAGTTAGCATATGCACAAGGGAACGAGTTGGTTTAAAAAGATAAATCACTGCAAAGAATGAAATTGGCTTATTCACATCAAAACTAGATAAGATGTTAAAAAAAAGATATGAAACAGAACCTATAGTTTCCTGAAATCAGTACAATTCTATTTATAAGAAGCTGGAAAGTAATGCACCTTGATTGTTTTAGGAATGATTTATGTGTTGCAATTTTAATTTATTTAAAGCATGTCTACTGTGTTTGTCCTAAGAGAAATATTTCAACAAAACGTGCTCTGTGTTTAAGATATGTTTAGGCAGTAGTTAGCAACTCTGAAAGTAGAAACTGGAAATGTTTATTGTGAGGCTTGTTGCAGAATTTCCATTTTGTGAGTTACTGCTTAGTTTCATGTCAGCCTAAAATTGTGAATTCCCTGTAGATTTTCGCCCCATTGTGGTGTCATCAATGAATTCAAAGCAGGTGCCATTATTTTTTTAAATAAACACTTGATGTTAGCTTTGGTGTTAAATAAAGAGGTAGATTTCTTAAATTTTCACATTTGTTGGAGCCCATCTTAGTAGCAAATGTGTGTGTGTGTTACCAATTTTTTTTAGTAGATTTTATGTTTTCGAGCACTTTCAGGTTCACGGCAAAATTGAGCAGAAGGTACAGAGATTTCTCTTCTGAACCCTGACCCCAGACAGGCATAGCTTCCCCTCCACATTAGTGACATTTCCCACCAGAGTGGTGCATTTGTTACACTTAATAAACCTGCATTGACACACATCATTATCCACAGTTCATAGTTTAGGGTTCATGGTGGTGTCATTCTGTTGGTTTGGACAAATGTATGACTACATGTTTCCCCCGTTACAGTATCACACAGAATAGTTTCCCTAAAAATCCTCTGTGCTCCATCTATTCATCCCTCTCTCCCCCTGTAGTCAATTTTTAAATGAATCTCAAGTCTTCGATATCGTAGGAAGTTGGCGATGTGTGGCCTGTTGCTTGAGCCCTGGCAGAAGGAAGGGTGGTGTATTCACAGTCATGCTAAGATACTAGAAAACATGGCCTTGTGTTGAAAAAGGGGAAGTGATGGCGAGGACAAAGCAGAGCCTTCATGAGCTGGAATGAGACAAGAGGAATGCCAGTCGGGTGGGCACAGGGCAGAGCACAGGAGGGAGCAGACGCCTGACTCCAGCAGTCGGTTTAGTGGGCTGTCTCCAGTTTGTCTGGGGCTTTGGTGTCTACAATGCGCTTGATTTCACTGTGTGTGAACTCATACGAACCAGTCCAGTGGTACCGATACCAATGCTATTCCTACAATATTCCCCGTTTATCCTCAGGAGATGCCTGAAACCTCAGATAGAACTGAGCCCTGTATATACCATTTTTCTTATACATACATACTTATGATAAAGTTTAATTTATAAATGAGGCACAGTAAGAGATTAATGACTAATAATAAAATGGAGTGATTACGGCCATGTACTGTGCTAAAGTAAAATAAAGATTACTTGAGCAGAAGCAGTTGATCTTATAACCAAGACAGCTGCTAAGTGATTCACGGTCGGGAAGCATCTACGGGGGTGTCCAGTTTTTTGGCTTCCCTGGGCCGTATTGGAAGAAGAATTGTCTTGGGCCACACATAAAATACACTAACACGAGAGCTGATGAGCTAAGACAAAATCACAAAAAAACTCATAATGTGTTAAGAAAGTTTACAAATTTGCGTTGGGCCGCATTCAAAGCCATCCTGGGCTGCATGCAGCCCATGGGCTGTGGGTTGGACAAGCTTGGTCTACAGTATAAATACACTGGACAAAGGGAGGATTCAGGTCCCAGTTGGGACAGTACAGGACACCGCCAGATCAGAATGGCCCACAGTTTTAAACTTACCAATTGTTTACTTCTCGAATTTTTCTTTCTTTTTTTATTTTAACAGTTGTGTCACCCAGGCTGGAGTGCAGTGGTGCGATTTCGGCTCACCGCAACCTCTGCCTCCCGGGTTCAAGCGATTCCCCTGCCTCAGCCTCCCAAGTAGCTGGGATTACTGGCATGCACCACCCTGTCTGGCTAGTTTTTGTATTTTTAGGAGAGACAGAGTTTCACCATGTTGTCAAGGCTGCTCTCCAACTCCTGACCTCAGGTGATCCACTCACCTCAGCCTCCCAAAGTGCTAGGATTACAGGCATGAGCCACTGTACCTGGCCTGTTTCTGGAATTTTTCATTTGCTATATTTGGATCTTGGTGGGCTACAGGTAACTGAAACCACAGAAGCAGCACCGTGGCTGAGAGGGGACTGCTGTATCAGCGGGTAGAATGGAAGCTCAGACACACGAGCCTTTCCTGAGGTCTTGGCTGGTGAAGAATTCACGACTCTGTTTTCCTTATCCTGCCTTTTTAGCCCTCTGCTTCCAGTCACTTCATGTCCTGACCAGTTTTCTACTTTGGTCACTCACCCTGTACAGGCAGACAAACTAGAACTCTCAGATAATAGAAAAATTCTTAACTACAGTAGCCCATTCTGTGCCCTGGAAAATGGAGCATAGCTGAATATTTGGAAATCTTATGAGGAACAACTGTTACTTTGCACACTATTGTCATTTGATGTCTGAGGATGAATACAGACAATGGAAGTGATTGAATGAAATATGTGTCCAGCCCAGCATGTTCCTAAATGTTGCAGTAGGGAAAACACCTTACCAGTTCTGTGTTTCCCTGAAAAAAAAAGAAACGGGGAAAAGTGATGTTAGTTGGTTTCAAGCTTCATTAAGCATAGTGCTATAGAATAAAGCAATATTTACCAGTTTTAAGTAATGTATGGATTTTTTCTTTTTTGAGACAGGGTCTCATTTTGTCACCCAGGCTGGAATGCACTGGTGCCATTAGAGCTCATTGCAGCCTTCATCTCCCAGGCTCAAGTGATCCTCCTGCCTCAGTCTCCCAAATAGCTGGGACTACAGGCAAGTGCTACCATGCTCAGCTAATTATTTTATGTTTTGAATAGACAGGGTCTCACTTTGTTGCTCAGGCTGGTGTTGACCTCCTGGGCTCAAGTAATTCTCCCACCTTGGCCTCCCAAAGTTTTGGGATTACAGGCATGAGCCACCATGCCCCACCGGGATTTCTAATATAAGAACTTATTTTGGACCTGGTGCTGTGGCTCATGCCTGTAATCCCAGCACTTTGGGAGGCTGAGGTGGGAGGATTGCTTGAGCCCAGGAGTTCAAGACCAGCCTGGGCAACATAGTGAGACCACCCCCCTGCATCTCCAAAAAAAAAAAAAAAGAATTAAAAAAAAAAAGAAGTTATCTTGTACATCTGAGGAGGTCCATAGTCACCATTTGACAAAGTAACTTCAAGTCTTAATAACAATTAATAATAGCCTTTTAAAATTTGCAATTAGATTTATGAATATCTGCAGCCCCACATACAGAGTTACTTTCTAATAGGTGTGATTATGAGATGTAGAAATTTGTGGGTCATGTAAGGAGCATGACAATACCAAACAGCACCTTTCTGGGCGTTCATAGATTTGGGATAATGCCTGGCATTCTTCGAAATTTACTGTGTGCAATGTACTGTGCCAGGTGCTTTACTTGCACTATCAAAGGTAATCATTCCAACACCCAACAAGACAGGCACTATTATTTCTGCTTCATAGATGAAGAAACTGAGGTTCAGAGAGGTAAAGTAATGAGTAACATCAGGCAACAGGTACTGGGGGATCCCCAAGCTTGTGTGACTGTAGCCTACATGGGTGACTGCTGCCCTACTCTGTAATAGAAGGAATTGAGCAACTAGTTTCTTGTCAGTCAGGGATCACTTTTAATCCTAGGACTATAGCAGGACAACTGAGCAGTAGTATAATTTGTAATGAATAATATGGTTACAAATTGTGCATTTCCATCTTCATGCTGCTGGCCGTACTAGGTGAGGGCAGAGATACCTGAAGCCAGCATCCTTGATTTTTGAAGAACCATGAGCTGACAGATTTGTGGACAAAGAGAATGGAAAGCGATTAATTACAGAAACTTTTACACACTCCCTGGCTTCCTGAGATTCTTGAGGTATATAATTGGCAGTTGACGCGGCTGAGTGTTTCTCAGCTTTTTTGCTCAGCTCTGAGATGGTGAAGTCCCTGGTGGCTTCTGCTCTGAGGCTGCATGACATCTGCTACCATCTGTAGTGGCTACCTCAGAAATCCCTCTCCTTGCTAAGCCAGTCAGGATCTCTCCCTTGCCAGGCCTTTAACTTGACTAAAGCAGTTAACAGGAACATGCGTCAGCCATGTTAACAGCTGTTTTGTTAGTGGTTATTCCACTCCGGCTTAGACATTGATAATTGGATTTCTTTTTCTTTTTCTTTTTCTTTTCCTGTTCTGCTTTAAAATAAGCCACTGAGTAGTAGAAGGAAAATAAAGTCATGTACTTTCTGGTCT